TTCTGCAGCTGCCACCTTCAAGCTTTTGAACAAAACTCTGCACAGTATTACTCTCTTGCATTAGCATTAGACAATTGCCATAGTTAGTTTTTGCAGTTTAATTTGTTGGTTCACATTTAGCTGAAAATTGTATATGTTTATATCACAACTTTGGTCTGTTCCATGTTTTTTCAGAAGAAATGCAAACATCCAGACCCCAAATCTTGAACTTGGATTCCACTGGCAAATCCTAAATTAACAGTTGAGAAAACGTCACTGTTCTTAAAGAAGGATTTGCTCTATCTTTTGGCATCAGAAATAAGTGTTACCTCTTCACTTCCTACTAATACACTTTTCACTGCAAAGTATGAACTCAGTCTTCTTCCTCTCTTTTAGAACATACCAATGCTGAGTTTTTAATTGAGGCTGAGTGCGTATATATCGGCAGTCTCTATTTTTACCACTCTTCTGCAACAGAACTGTTCCTATACCCTCCTTGGTAGCCTGTGTAAACAACCTAGTACTGACCTTACATTTTTGTCATCTGAAGACCGAGGCTAAAACTGTTTCCTTGAGTTTCTCAAAAGCAGCATTCTGTGCGCATTAGATGGGATGGTACATTAGCATTTGGAAAGTTTGCAGGCTTTGTAGTAATGTCTAGATTATATATAGGCTTTTCGATGAAGATTTTCCTCCTGTCTGTTATTTACTAACTGGATTTGCTATAAATCTTACTTGTCGTAGTCCACCAGTACACCTTGCTAGCTTATGTCTTCAGACGTGTATTTATTTGAAATTTGCATCCATATACCTTTATACCAAACAGCTTTTGTCTTTTTAGAAAGCTAGTTGAAAGCTCTGACTGTGGTATTATATTGTCTTTTTTTTTAATCCCAAACCAAGACATAGTCTAAAAATAATATTTTACATTATCTGTGTAGGTGGTAGTCTTTGCTATGTGTTGTAGCTTTTAGCATAGCATATGAACCACTGAACGCAAAATAACTAAGCCCAGATGACCTTATTGCTGGGAAAAAGAAAGGCTTGTTTGAGGCTTTGCAGTTGACATTACAGATTTAACAGTTATGCATCATTAATAGTTGATAACATTATTTTAATCTTCATTTGCATGCACTGAGACAATAGTACAAGCAAGACTTATCATTACACTGCAACATTAGCAGATCATTGTATGACTAAAATTTAAAATGGCTTCAGAGAGCATGTTGAATAGAACAATGCAGCTGATCTCTAGCTCAGCTTAGAAAAAATACACTTGCATGATCTGAAAGAAATAATTCCACATTATTAAGAGTTGCCTTTATTACTGTTACTTAGCTGTTTGCCAGCAGTTGGTGAAGGAACAGAATAGTGCTTACTCTTTGCAGCTCAGTTTTGTTCAAGTATTACCACAAAAATAAAGAACTCCAAATACATCAGCTTTAAATTCTTCTTATTCTAATAAAAGGACTCTTAAATTTGACCACCTCCTACCTCCGGAAATACAGAGGTAAAAGAACAAACTCTCCTCTTACAGCACCCCAAATCACACACATATTTGAGTAATACATTTAAAATTATATGATTACTGGTCAGCATTTTCCAGACTATGTTCCTATTTCAGAATATACTACTGTGATTAATGTACACTTTTTTCATTCAGCATTAAGTGATAAATATGTCATTTTCTAGGTCATCTATATAATGAGAGTGTCTATACATTAAAGATGACAAGTACCACACAATTTACTAAGCTTAGGCACCAGGCCATTTGGTGACAATTAAATTCCTTAATAAATATTTGGTTTTCTTGTGGTTAGTATTCTTCATAGTTCATGAGCTAAACAGAGGTAAAAGAACCCTTTTTCAGAAACATAGTATTTTAAAAAGCCAGAGCTACTTTCACTATATATTCCAAAGACTATATAGTAACATTTGGCCCAGTTTCAAGGAGTGACAGGTTTTCCTCTCATATCTTAAATCCAATCAAGAGAGACTTCTGTAGAAGTAGACCAGCATATAGAAAACTATATGTTCTGAATGCTTTACGTTTACTTGTAATGTTTTCAAGTGCACAGGTTATCAAACATAAACTTATTAGTGTCCCTATCTAAATTCTTTTCTGTGAACAAATTTGTTGTGTGTGTGAAATGAGACACATGATGAGTACAATAATCAGATTATGTGTATTTGTTTTCAGCATATTTTGTTAAAATGAATACTGAGTTCTTGCTGAATATCTGAATTACGCTTACTATTCCAGATGCTTGCATACAGCATCTGTTGTATTAGGTATATTAAACTATATTTTATTTATTCGTAAACTAGAGACCATTCTTTTTTAAATTAGTGTGCTAACCACAAAGCTTAATTGTATTGTACAAAAGATGCATGTTGAAAATTCAAAATCTCTTGGGTCATTAAAATTGCCAAGAACAAATTGAAAAACATTTTCTCCTTTTGATTAGAATCCATGGTACGTGTTCATTTGTATAAACCATCCATGCAAGGAATTTAATTTTAATTTAATTCTGGTTTAAATGTTTTCAGCGCAAACTGTGAAAGCTCAGGAGTTTATTTGTGCCAACTGGACTGAGTTTAAAACATACCCGACACTTCTGACACCACAGATATCTGCCAAACAGGAAAAAAAAGTAACACATCTGTCTAAGGATTTGAAATAATAATATATAATATTTTGAAATACATAATACTTCATCATATACAGCATCTAATATGGTACTGTTATATCAAACTTGCAGGTTGACTGCTTCTCTGACAGCCACATCATTTCTTTGGAATAATATATTTTAAAATATTTTTTCAAGACTATTCTATGAGTCCCTTCCAAACCATTCTATGATTCTGTGATTCACAATGCTTATTTTGTCTAATGCAGTAGTCATGAACATTGCCATTCAACTATAAAACGTTCATAGAGCATAGCTGTGAATGATCTACTATAAAACAAGTTTTCTCCACACAGGCAGAATTATTTTGCTTTTTTGAATTTTCACAGTTGTAATCCAAATGTGACTTCTGAAAATCCAGTAAGGGCATTAGAATTAGTGACCTATACAGAAATATCTTCAGTTGTGATTTTGAATGCATGGTTGCACCAGTCAACACTTGCCAAAGCTGAAATCATGCCAGATACCCTAACATCTTCCTTACTGTGTTAGATTGGACATTAAGACCTAAAAGTTTTAAAGGTTAAGCAACAGATCTGGAAGAGATCAGGTCTGATGGCCATTTTACACCTGCATGCTGTGCCACCCAGGCTTCCCCTACAGTCAACAAGGACACAGGAACTTCTAAGACATTACTTGTATGATCTATTTTTAAATATCTACTCTGGGATGAGTAGACATGTGCTTCCTTAAAAGTGCATACTTTCATCTAGGGCAGCAAATGAGCCTGTGATACCTGTCTCAGGTGTGGGTAACTGCACCAGTGGGCACATTTGGTCAGATGAATCACACCTCATTTTCATTTCTTCTTACAGTGCTCCTGGAAAAGCCAGTTAGATTATTTTTTCACAGAGCTCCAAAAGCTTCTGACCTAGGAGAATGGAAGAGGAGGTGCTTGATACCAAGAGCCAGACTCTTCAGTTTCTGCCTAGCCACTGGAGAGGAACAACACTTACAGGGAACAATCTATCCTAAATATAGGTGTCCTAAAGTATACATCTAAAATAAGTCAGATGACTTTTGTCCTAGAAATGCCTGTCTCCTGCACTGTGTATAAATATGAGTACTTTAGACCAGCTAGGTCAGAGATTGGCGTGAACATATCAGTTAGATTAATTCTGTCCAGAGCGTAAGATGTTGGGACACTGTGCTCATTATGTCACCCTAGGTCTGAGCTGTTTCATATGTAGTAGTTGTGCATTGACTGAAAAATAACTTAAGGACTATAAGCAAAGACAAATATTGAAGTGTATCATAAGGAAATTCTTTGCCCTACAGGCTATCAAACAATATGTTTTTCATTCATACTGATGCTGATGATCATGGAGGACTGCTAAGATATGAAACAAACTTGCAGACAAATTTGGCAGTAATGTGAAAAGTACACAGACAAAAGAAGTATGTGTAGGCATGTACTCTGCAGGCAGTTCAGGGAAAAGAAGTAAATACAGGACATTTGGAAACTACAGGTGCAGGAGGAAATGCAAACAGGTTCAGCCATAGAAGAGAAACCTAGGAAGCAATAATAGATTTGTAAAGGTAAGAAATGGGAAGCAATGTAGGACTTTTCATAGTACACTGGCAAGCAAAACAGGTTAGCAGAGGCAAGATCAAGTCAGTAAGCAGTCAGGAGCATACATCTTCTTTATCTTTCAGACTGCATCCAAAACATAAAATACTCATAAAAGTTCAAATGTAATGTAAAAAAATATTTTGGGGATCATTTAAGTGCCAAAAAGCTACTGGTAATTTAGAAAAAATATTACAAGATCACTGAAGGTAACTGGAAGAGAGAGGGAAGATGGGGAAACTGAATTGTGAGGTAGATGAAAATATAGACAGCTTGGCACACTTATACCTGCTGGATGCAGACGGCAGTAACTCACTGTAGTGTTAGCACCAAGGAAAGAAAAAAATTGAGTTCAAGAGTGGTACAAAAACCATGGGTGGGAATATGAGGCAGGTAGCACAGGGAGCTCCATCAGCAGTGCTGAGCTAGAGGCTTAAGAAAAACAAGCTAGTAGACATGGCATTAGAAAGTAAAAATTGAATACGTCCTAATGCATGGAGTGGTGTAAATGTCCTCATTGTCTAAACCGTCGCTAGTATTTTAAAGATGCTTAGTTAATATTTTTTATAAACTTTGATAGCAATAACAGCTCTACAACACTAGGGCTGTCGCTTGTGGAGAGGCTTCACATCCTCTAAGTTACAGGACAGAAATGAACCCATTTTTTCCCTACTTTAGTGAGGACTGTATTCATACAAAGAAAACAGCTTCTTTTCCAAAAAAGCTGCTTGGTTTGTGTTTGTTTTGGGGTTGTTTTTTTTTAGCCCCACCCCTCTATTTTTTTTTATTTTTTATATGGTGCTATGTTACTTTCTGTTTTTGAATGGAACGGCAGAAGCAGAACATTCCAAGGGAGAATTTGGAAGCTGTGACAGTGAGGTGGAGGGACCTACTTCCTCAGGTTCATGTAGACTGACTGTATAGTCCTGCATGCCCTGGGACTCGCCCATAGGTATTTGGGAGCACTGGTTGTACCACATCACTGGTCTCTTTGGCTGCAGGTCTGTAGTGCTAAAGGAGAAAAAGCCTGGCACTGACTGCTATTATTCCCCAGAATAGGGTTTGTCTTCCCTTCCTCAAAACATCATTGTTCAGTATGAGCAAAAACTTGAGTGGACTGACAGAAACTGGTTATTTATGAGCAACCTAATCTGAAATCCCAAGACATGGACTGGATGGAACAAAGCAGGAAAGGCAAGAAGCTAAACTAAATATCACAGTGTGCCTTTTAGATTGACTCTGGAGGACATTGATCCACAGATCACTAAGAACTAAAACTCTTAAATGCTCCATTAACTGATTTACAGGAAAGTCAATGATATTGCTAAAAATTTTGTCATTGTTGTACCATCCTTGCAGTGATGTGGCCATCTTTGTGGTTATTAAGGAAATTATAAGTGAGCCCCAATATTTGTTCTTGACAGTTTTCCTATCACACAAATAGCAACTTCCTTTATTAATGTTAAGGTTAGCTGGGTAAACATGGCAGTGAAATGAAACACACTGTGGTTAAGGCCTGTACTTCCAGTCAGAGCCAGTTTTCCTAAGAGACTGGTGGTAGAGCTTTTGAAACTCCAGGCTCCAGGTTTGGCTCTGGGTGCAGGAGAGAAGTCATTTTACTGCTTCTGAACGTGGTTCATTATTGCATACATTTCCACCATCCGTCCTCTGATTCAGCTGGATAACGGTTACCTTGGAGTGGCAGGTGGGCTCTCCATCAGTGGCAGAAGGAGGTTGGCAGTGGAAAAGCTGACGAAAGCATTTGTAAAACTGAAACAACAAACAAAACAACTCTAGGCATAGTTTCTAGGCAGGATACAATTCAAAGCATCTTTGTAACAGCTTGGAGGTGAGGAAACGTGGTTTATTAAGCTCATAATTTGCTTACATTTGTGGACTTTTCTTTGAAATTTATATGCTTAGCTTTTCTAAGACCATAGAGTGTAAAGCTGTAAAACAATCCAAAACATTTTCAGAACCTTTCATTTATGATAAAAGAAGGTTTAATCACAGAAGTAATTGGTTTTCAGTTACTTCACACATCAGGCAGGGAAAAATCATTTTGATAATCTAATGATACACAGCAGGGAGAACATAAGGTTCTTTTCATTAGCAAGCCATTGAAATCTGTGTGTCCCCAAACTGCAAACTGAACTTCAGAAAATGTCTTCCCTTAATTAATGAACCAAAATGATTTATGTTAATTCATTTCACTTGTGAGATCTACCCCAAACACCTTTGATGTGTTATGATTCCAAAGCTGTTGTACAGAATAAAACAATTACATCAGTTCTCATTTGTAAGTGCAAAGTGAGCAGTATTATACAGCTGTCTCCTCTGAGAGCTGACAGTTGTATTCAGCAGACAGGGATACCAGTAGTGCAACAATTGCTTTGATACATTTCATTGCATTTTTAGTTTTTAAATGAAATCTAAAAAAAAAAGTTATCCAAGGCTTACTTCATAATTTCCCTTTCATGTGGCTCTGTGAAACAGAAGAGGCTCCCAGAAGCTGTGACTGATGTGAAAGTATTGCAGTTTAGACGGTGCTGTTGATCATATCTGATATGCATCCCTTCAAAAATGTGTGGCCACACCAGTAAGATTTCTTCCATTTCAAAGCTAAAAAGACCTCCTGCTAGTACAGATTTATAGTTGCACTGTAGGAGAACAAAGTTTGCAAAAGCCCACCTATCTTCCTCCTGAATGTGCCCTGGTCTGCTTCTGATCAGAGCATAGGTGATACTGGCCCATCTTTCTGTTCTTGTTTCCCTTGCCATAGTGGACAAAAGTGGAAAGGGGAATCAGTCAGAATCTTCATAGCTTTGAAGATAAATGTGTGTAAATATTTGAAAGAAATGCATGCAAAAGCACAGAGGAGAATAGAATGGGCATATCTGGAATTCTTTTATATATCCTGTACCTGGCAGGCCAGAGTTCAGCTTTGGATGTGGTAGAAGTACCAGGAAGAGCTCCTTAGAAACACCAGACAACTGCTCTATGTGTGTGTATGTCTTCTGTATTCTGCAAGTGAAAATGAAGACCTAGTCTGTCTTGCTAAATAGATCAAGAATTGATAATATACAAGAAAAGCAAGAAAAGTGATCAGCTGACTCAAAAAAAAAAAAGTGGTATGAAGCTGCATTAGGTCCTGATTCATCTGTGGGATGTTTTGTGGACAGGACAGGGTAAATGGGAGGAGGTGGAGAGAGCAGTCTTCTCACTGAGAGAGGCTGATGGTGGTATGCAAGCCCTTTACAGGCTTTTTACTCCTTCCTTATGGTTGTTGTCCTACCCTATTGATTGTACAAGGATCACAATCTTTATGTATCAGGGAAAAGTGAAAGCTGCTCTAATACAACGATAATTACTTAATGATTTTACAGATGTAATACTTAAGGTGTGCAACACCAAAGGAAAGCAGGAAAGAAAAACAAGGTTGATGACTATAGGGAAATTTCTGTGAGAAAAGTGAAATCTGGGGTTCACTTTTGTCTTCACTTTCTGCTCCAGGTATCCTCATCATGATGTCCATGTGTAACGAAGTGCACGTGTACGAATACATCCCTTCCGTTCGACAGACTGACCTGTGTCACTACCATGAACTCTACTACGATGCAGCTTGTACCTTAGGGGCCTACCACCCACTGCTCTATGAGAAACTGTTGGTGCAGAGGATGAACAAAGGTTTGCAGGATGATCTGTATCGGAAGGGGAAAGTCATTTTGCCAGGGTTCAAAGCTGTCAAGTGCCCCAAACGAAATAATTTCCCACACTTGTAGAGGAGAGTCCTTCAGAAACAATGTGCAATAAGGTACTACTGTTGTACTATAAACAAGAGAAGAATACTTGAAAAATGTATCTTAGACCAATCTAGGCTTGAGTCTATAAACTGTAATTAAGTAGCAGGCATGAGAAATACTTCTTTTCTGAGCCTGAGTATTTATTACTGTTTTGCAAATACTTAAAAAAGGCTTAGCTCATGAAAGGTGCAAAGGACATACTTAGGCAGAAATATAATGTATTGTTGTGGGTGTGAATGTCAGAATTTGTCAGTGGTCTCTTGTGCCACATATGCTAGACTGTAACTTTTCTTTAATGAACTTATTTAACTGTCAAATCTGGCATTGTGAAACAGCCTCTATTGTTCATGTACAGAGCAGCCAGTTGAACAATGCAGTGTTTCTCATGGCTCCATGGGGTTTTCACACTCTCCAAGAATGAAGTAATCACTACTCTGAGCTGTGCAGTCATTGACTAGAGTAGACTCTTAATTCCTGTTCACACACAGGCTCAATTACAGGCCTCCAGCTGCATAGGGGGCCTTACGGTGGCTATGAGGTCAGTGCAGATGGAGATGGCTGTACACATAGCTAAACCGGTTAATTGACTGGATGTACTTCTGATGCCAGATACCCACACTCACACTGAAATGCCTACATAGGGCAGAAGGAAGTAAAAAATGTTTCTTTAGAGAGCAACAGACATATTTGTAACCCATTTAGGAAAAAAACTCCCTGGGAGGCATATCAGGAGGTTTTGAGATGGAAATTTTATTGTTCCCCTGGTCTGCACAGATAAGAAAAAGAGAAAGACAAGGGAGGCTGTGCACCATTTACCCACCACGCTAAAAGCAAACATAGAGGGAGCTTACCTTTCTGCAGCAAAGATAGCATGCAGGATTACAGACATCATTTATGAGGTATTTCATTTGAGCTCTGACTCAAACTCACTTGTTCACAAGTTACTGCTGTTAAGAATATATAGGGAGTGGATATCAGAATTTTTTATTTAATATTTGAAAGACTATACCCCAGAGAAGCTGCAGTGCTTGCAAAAAACCTGACTACGGATTGCATATGGAGATAATTCAGTATTTTCCTTCATAACACACAATGAGAATATTCTCTTAAGGCACCTCTAAAAATCCGCCTGGTTGCTAATATATTTAAAATGCTATTTGCCACGTCAAGACTTCAGTCTCAGATTTTCCAAGCAGCAGGAGGTTAATATTCCTTTTCTTTTTCACACACCTGCACACTTTCTTTTAGCGTAAGTTCAGCAGGAACATATGCACACAAAAGCACAGCTACATCCTACTCATGTCCGTTCAGTAAAAAGGCAGACAACTCAAAGAGGCTCTGAAAAGAATAGCTGAGTGGTTGTGGGGGAAAGTAATTTTTGTGTTTTCTCTTAAGCAACAAAAAGGCAAAAGAGTACAAAGAGCATTAATGACTATTTCCTCCTCAATAGTAATGTAAGTATAATCACAAAATCCTTTTTCTCTCTCTGCTCTTTGGGTCTGATGGATTTCCTTCATCAGAAGTGACGAGTATGTGTCTTACATAGGATTTACCCTTCTTTGTCTATGTAGTTTCTTAATTTGGGCTTTATGATCCTCTTTAAGATTCCTCAACAGAAAGTATGTCCAGATGAGCTAAAAACTGTAGTTCTGTGTTATGTGGATACTTACGTCCATAAATCCCTTTGGTACATGTTAAAATGAAGAGGTTTTACTCATACTAGCCTTAGACTCTGGATATATTACATACTGATTTCTTGATAACACTATGATTTAATCGTATGGAGAATAGATAACCTACAAAGAACTAACCTATTTTTCCATATGCTTAGTACCCTGTTTGCAAAACATAGGAAGTCTGAACAGTGCAACCAAACATGTCTGTCTCTCCTGTATGCAGGATTAGCTACCACATGTTTGTAAAGGAAGGCAGTTGATCAGCTTTCTAGGACTAGTGAATATGCTACTTTTCCATGAGCAGGAAATTCTCTCAAGTTCTGAAAAGAAAAGGAAGTGTATCACTTTGGCTGGTCTGCAGCCACTAACCTTTAGCTTTGATTTTCACAAGGAAGAAAAATACTAACTGCATTACTCAACTACCCACACCAGGATTATGCTGTATTACTCCCTCAGTAATTTGTCAGAGCAATCAACATAGCTGTTGTACAGAACAAGGCAAATTATAAAGTTACACGTAATAAGCGCTAAGCATACCTACTTAATACATCGTTTAAATAACAATGCAGTACTGGGTCTGAGGTGTTACAGAATGAACTGTGTATTTTTAATACACTGGGCTGCCCGCATTCAAGGCCTCCCAGCAGATAACTTTTTTCTTTGCCTGATTTATATGGCAGCCAGTGATCCTTCTGCAAGTGCAAATGTGGGTGCTGTAGCACCATTACCTCAGAAGATGACATAGAGCTGTGCTGCAAATGCTTGCTCACAGAGGAGGAAGAGCAGTGTGTGGTGTCTAAGCATCCCAAGCATGCCTAAAAAAAGCATCCCTCGGGTGGCTTCCCAACACTTGTTTCCACTGTGATGTTTTACCGGTCTGGCTGCTCAAACACCTTGTGGCTCCTTAAAGAGATTTTACTCCCCTACCTTGTCTTGTCCTCCTTTGGGTTTTGGCACAAGTGCGAGTGTGCCTGATCTGCTAACTGAGGGCTCGCCTCCATTTGCTGCAAGAGGAGGAGGGGCAGAGATAAATAAAGGGGGGTCATAAAGGACCTGCAGAGGTGTTCCCCTCAATACTGCTTATACTTTGTGGCATTGGCATTGCTGGCTTTTAGAAAAGCCCACCAAGGATTTTTGCAGTTATGGGCACGTCCCCATCCCACATGAGGGCAGAGTGATATTTACAAAGAATCAGATTTGGTAAATTCAAAACAGGGAGTGTGTATTAACACTGAACTATGTATCTTTTAATAATAATAACATGTGCAGGTGCTGGGTTTAGATACATATA